TGAAAAAGTGGCAGGGACTTGTCTACAGCCCCATCTGGACCATGAAAGTCTGTTGATATAGCTCAGAACTTAGAAAATTCATACTCCTTAGCTGAAACCAATATATTGACTAAACCTCTGGTGTGTATGCCAATGGAAGAGAAAGTTTGATGGCTTGGCATATGTTATTTCAAGAGATGGTAACTATTCTAGCAGACGCAGACAAGCTGTTTGACATATGCTGCACATATACTAGGAGGCCCAGATATAAAAGTATCTGCAGCATTTCAGACTGTGTATTGGTCTATATTAAGAATCACAAGCACTGATTCACCTTCTGTGGTAAAGCTGGTAAAACTTTTGGGATCTATTTCCCAATGAGATTAAGTCCATGGGACATTTTCTGCAGGGACAGTAGGAGAAGCTCAGTGTGATTAAACCTGTGTCTTCATGGTGAAGTGCAATACAAAAATGGAAACTTAATTACAACCTTCAAATAAAAAAAAATATAGCTTTGAAATTAATATAGTGAGTTGTTTTAAAAGTCATGAGATCTTTTTATCAAGATGGTACATTAAATGAAGATTAAAGAAGAGAATTTTTTCACAGGAAAACATAAGCAGTAAGCAATTTCCCTTCACTTTACTGATCGAGACAAGGCAGTGATATTTAACAAGCAAATATACTAAATCTAAAATCTAAAATAATTTGGAGGCTTTTAATTTCAGAAAGACTTTTTCAAAATAATCAGACATAAATCCCCATATATATTTGACTTGATAACAGAATATTACATTTCATTATGTTTTTCTTGTCTTTTAGATGAGGGAGAGTGTAACTTGTAACCAGAATTCTCTGAGGTGGATTTTCTTATTCATGCACACAAGAAGCTCCAGCAAGGTTTATTGAAATATTCACGTCTATCTTTGAGGTTATTATTCCCAGATATTTTAGGTAAAAAGCTATAAATAAATGGTGAGGTTCCAAGTGCCTCATTTTTTCCTCACAAGTAAAGAAAGGGAAGTGGATAGAAAACGTGAA